ATATACATACACCTTTTCATGATTGCTTGACACGGAGGTGACATCACTCTGATCCTTATCGTTATTGAATTTCCTGAAGGGCATTTAGGGATATACATTTCGTTACATTATAATTCTGGAGGCTTTTAGCCTGAGTTGAGCAGCTTTTCTCCCTACCCTGTGTTTTTAGGATTTTTTTTATGGAATTTTAACCTTATGGTCATATTAATATTAATTTTAAATTGTTAACCCTATCTACCCACCTTTATTAATTCCATTAGCACAAGTTATTTTAGATTACAATATCCAATAGCAAGCTGGCTATTGTACCCGCCCTCTGCTGCTGTCAATCACTAGAAGAGGACCTGATGGAGAACTTCAGGTCCCCCTCTGCTAATTGACAGGAGCAGAGGGCGGGTGTAATAGCCAGTTTGCTATTGGCTATTGCAAAGTGAAATAGCCAATCGGAATCTAGCTATGCTGGTTTTTTTTTTCTGACTGACAGCGACTGTCGGCTCCGATGTCAGAGAAAAACAAAAAACAAGGCAGGGAAAGGTTTAATCTGCTTGATCGCACAGAATAAACCTTTCCGGGAGAAAATGTTTCTCTCCCAGGCGGCTGGGAGCCGCTAACAGCGAGAGGCTCCCGGAGCGTCCGGGAGAGTTGGGATGTCTGTATTTGGCTTGATGTCACAGAAAGTGAGGGGAAATCCAAAATGTTAGAGTGGTCACTAGGGCAGGAGAGAATGGGGGCAAGGCAAGAGGCTGCACAGCTGTGTGACCTGTTGATGAATACTTGAGCAGGTGAGGGTAGTAAATGTTGGTAGCAGGTCTGACACTGTATGTGCTGCCACAGTAGTCTCTACATTAATCTGTATTTTGTGTGTTTGGCATATTCCACTGCATCACCCTCAGTTTTGCTCTTGGTCACATCCAGCCCTTAGGTAGGCACTCTCAGGCTCCCCATGCTCAGTTTCAGTTTCCGTTTTACCTTTGCTGAGTAAGGAGAATTTCACATAGAAATGTAATTTCACCTTTAAGAAAACAAAATATATATCCTCTCTAATGGTGCGTTGGAATAATCTACATTGCAATTCTACTTCTTAGGGGGTTATTCACTAAGCTGCCAAAGGCAGCCGAGTGAATAACTGAGCCGAAGTGAAGTGAGCTGAACGACGTTCGGCTATTCACTTCAGCCCTGCTATGTCAACAACATTTGTTTTTCAATTAAATTATTTTTTCTTAAAGTGTGGGCTGCTTACAAGGGGTACAAGTACCCCTTACTCATTCTCAAGGGGGGGGGGGGCTGAATCTGGGTGCCCCTTAATTAATGGGGTACCCCGATGGAAAAAGGCACTCCTGCCGGCAGAACCCCACAACCAACGGGTCAGGTCAGAGCTTGTGGGGAAAAGGCCCTTGTTCCCATCGACACGGGGACAAGGTGCTTTTCTAGAAGGAACCCTGTAAAAGCACCCTCCCAATGCCAAGGGCATGTGACCTTGTATGACGCAGGGAGGGGGCATTCACTCGTCCTCCCTCCTTTCCTGCCCTGCCAGGCCAGGCCTGTGCTCGGATTAAGGGTCTGGTTGGGAATTTTAGGGGGGACCCCATGTTTCTCCCCCCATTTTGGGGGGGGGTGGAGCTCCCCCTTAAAATCCCTACCAGACCTAAAGGGACTGGTATGACTTTTGGGGGCAACCCCACACACTTTTTTTATTTTTAACCTGGGGCGTCTCTCCTAAATTTCCTACCAGACCTAAAGGGTCTTGTATTGATCGGGAGGGAGACGGCACACTGTTTTTTTTTTCTTTGTTTAAATTATTGCGGGGAGAACGATCTGCTCTCCCTAGCTATGCTCACACCTGTCAGCGCTCCCTCTCTCTCCTCCTGGCAGCTCTGAAGCTGCAGCGGCCAAGAGGAGAGAGAGAGGGAGCACAGAGAAGTGTGATCGCCGCGGCGGCAGCCGTCTTAAAAGGGCCCCCCTTCCAGTACGCATCTTTCCGCCCACTCCACCGGTGCCCTCAGGCAGTTGCTTGACCTGCCAGTAGAGTAGCGCTGGCTCTGACTGTAGAGTGAAGCAACCGGCATTTATTTGGCAAAGAACACAGAGCCAACCTGCTGCAGGGAAATCATATCAACACAGTTTTTGAGATAAATGAGAAACAAGAAATAATCCAAACCACTTCTGTCCACCTGAAATAGCAGTTTTGGGAAGAGTTGTCATTTAGGCCTTGGCAGCCCGGAGATGTTTGAGCAGAGATAAGCCAAGCAATAGTCTCAGACACATCAATTCTTTTATACAGAGTTGCTAGGTTGTCAGCTCAGGGGGGCTTGCAGGGGGCTAACATTTGGACTGCCACCAAAAATAGGTAGAAATAGGTCAGGCAAGTCTCTGAGAGCAAAGCCTCAGCCCCAATGCAACAAACTCCTATCATGAAAGTTGTTGGCTTGGTTTTGCAGTGACAAAGCAGTCCTATATTGGATAAGCGGATTATAGATTGTGCGATATCCATTTCCACCTCTCCAGCTATTATATTATTTGTTCTGCAGATGGGCAGGTTCACATTGTTTGGGCACATTATTATGAGCTTCCAAGACTATACAATGAAATGCGCTCCATTGTTTCTGTGACATGCAAACACTAATGCTTTTATGAAGAGGCAATGGGTAAATGAGAGGCCGAGAAAAAGTAAAATATCATATATTTCTTTATTTCAGCCTGAAGAATCAAAGCAATAGATATTAGGTGCTTACCCTACTAGTGATCCTATTCATCATTCCACAGGCTGGCACAGAATAACCTTTTTTGACTCAACCGCAACTCCTCATGAGCTTTTGTGGTAGACACTCCTAGCAGGATGATGCAGCCTATGTCTGACTTTGTAAGTTGGTAGTTGCATAATAGAGTAAGAGAAGTTAGGTTCTGTAATAGGATTCTGTATGGTTATGATGCAGAATATTAGATCATATCACGTCAGTCATATGCAACTCCGCTACCTATGTGAAATCATATATCAAAGTACATCTAAAGGCTCTTGTATGATAGTTTAAACAGGTCCTAAACAAGTTATTTTGTAATGCACAAGCCTCATAAAGCAAAACAAAACTTCTGTTACCTCCTCTGTGTGAGCCAAACCATTTTTTTTTATTACATTACTACACCCCCTGCTGTAGTAATGTAACCCAAACACCCAAATGCCTCCCCTAACCGCACGTCCCTGATACTTAGGGGTTAATTTTGTGTTTCAAAAGTGTTAAGTTAAGCAGAACATTACATGTTAAAGTTAAGAGAAGATTGCTAGGAATATGAATAACATGCCGGCACCTTATATTTCACAAATTCAATACTGATTACCCATAAGGTAAAGGAAATCTTTGCTACATAGCAATTCACAGTGTATTTACATCTATTCACATCAGTCCCCCTTACAGTCTTTAAAATATTTTTTTCCATGTAATTTTACAATAATAACTCTGAATGAGAGTACAATAGAGCTAACTTAAGACAGATAAAATGCCACAAATGAATGCAGCTCTGTTTTGTTTAATTCATGCATGCATTGTGGGTACCTGTATAATACTCAAGTGAAATGATGATAATAAAAACATATTAAACCAAAAAAAAAAATTTGGTTTCAGATGTGGCCTTACTTTTGTTATTATTTTTGGAAACTAGACCAAATCCTGGTTGAAGAAATAAAGGAAATAAAGCTTTGGGCAAGAATACAATTCTCTCGTCACTGGTGCACTTAGAATAAACAGTCCTGAGTCTGTAATTTTGCAGGACAGAAATGTGCAACTCCACCCATCGTCCATTATATCATACCCATATAAATGTGCACACCCATGATCATTGAGAAAAATATTTCTCACACCCCTTGTCCAGATCTGCAGTCTAAATGAAACATTGTTTGGAAAAAGATAAAGTTATGCTCAATCTCATTGCATATGTCTTGTGTATGGGGATAGTCTGAACAAAGGCACTTTTTGATGTTTTAGCCTCAAGTTAGTCTCATTGAACACCTGACCCTGATTTTCTACAAGTGGTTTAAATTGTTACTTATGATCAGATTTAGGCCTTAAAAACAAACAAACTCAGGAAACATAGTCCTTCAGCCAAATGAGAGAAGTCAGTTGTGAGTGATAGAGCACTGACAGTAGGAATTCTGAAGTTACTCTTTTGCCCAAAGCAGTGGTGGGGAACGGCCACTTTTATATTTGATCAACAGTGCATTTAGACTGCAAGGCAGCCACCATATTAGTGGAGGTGCAGGCTATTACCAGGAGGATCTTCCTGTTACTAGACCTTACCCCATGATGGCATCATTATTGTAATCCAGTAACTAGAAATGGGCGGGTTATAGCTCCGATTATGTAAAAACTCCTGATAGGCTCCTGTGAGGTTAGAAGAACAGAGCGTGCCTGGTCAGTGTCATATGTCTGGAAGTGCTCTGCTGCTTCAAATTGGGAAGTATATCTAAAGCACCATTTAAAAAAAAAACTTATTTGCTTTGTCATATTAATGATGATCTCTAATTTAGATTCAAAATAAAAAAAAACTATCACACCTCACCCACTTTTTTAAGTAAAAAAAAATTATTCTTCCTAAAAGCCCCAATTGCTTACCTAAATGTGGCAGTTCCCAGGTCTTCTCTCTCCTGGTCTATAGTGTTGAATGGTCTGTCTTAAGGTGCCCATGTTTTGCCCTGGTGATGTGAATGTTGGCTGTTAGAAGAGTCCATTGGTGGGTAGCTTATTGGGCTCCAAAGACTTCCAGCGATGGCAGCGTCATGACATCACATGCAAGGGGCAACAACCAAACCGGTGGTACTGGACTTTAGTGGCAGATCCCTGGTCTCCATTACAAGAAATAGTCTAAGAAGTTTTTGTTTTAATAAAAAAAAGAATAAATGTATATGGGTGGGTGTAATGGAAGGGATTGGGTGAGGGTTTGTTTTGCCCAAAGATGGGCTTTAAATTATGCTACTGAATCCCTGTTCGACAACAAAACTTTAAGTATAGGTCAACTGATGGTTAGCGAGGTATTATGCAACACTCATATTCTGGTGGCACGTTGCCTAGTCCACTTCCTGTAGGCGTGAGGTCTATCTGTTCCTTAGGAATGACTGGTTTGAAGTTGAAATTCTGAAGCAAAGAAGTAAAATAGAGGAAAAGTTCCATCCGTCCCAAGCTTTCTCCAGGGCATATCCTTTTACCTAACCAAGACAAAACAAGGTTTTACTAACAATGAGGAGACATTAGATAACTCATGAATGTTTGCTTCCTTATTTAATTGGCAACACAGCAGATATATTTGTTATTATCCTTAGTTGACTGCTTTTACATCAGTTGACTTGGAACATTTTTGTGTTTTGGAATTTCTGAAATTGGAGTCAAATTTTAGATGAGAGAACATCATACAGACTCTATCTGCATAAGGTTTCTGTATTTCAGTCCTGAGATTTCCACAGCACCTCCACATAGCACAGCCAGGTGGATGATACCGCTTTCTGTTTTACAGTTATAGAATGTAGAGGAGATACAGCGGTGTCCTCTCCCCCCTACAATCAGTGAGCAAGCAGCAGTAGAAGGATGAGCTCATCCTTCTGCACACTTTACTATTCCCTTCTATCTGCTTGGTTATTATGCGCCCATTTGCATGCAATACACTTGGTTGGCTCCTAGTGCTGCCCTTGCCCTTCCTTCTTTCCAAGTCTGAGTTTTACTATACAGCAGATTGCAAGTATTCTATACACTGGCATTATACATGCATTTGCAGAAAGATAAAATCACAAGTTACAAATTAAAATAATAATTACCAGCACCAAACGGCATGTGGGCATCACTCTTCTTAAAAACACCATTGTCATCCAGAAAATTGTTTGGGTTAAATTGGTATGGATCTTTGTAATAACTTGGATCGTAATGGACAGAGGCCAGGAGTGGGATGACATATGTTCCCTAAACACAAAATATAAAAGGACGTTACACTTTACCACCTAAAAGTAACGTGTATATAAATCCTTATTTTTTTTTATGTGCAATACTAGTCAGCAGGTGGCAAATTCTACTTAATCTCTGTTTTCAAAGGACTCCTATTGTGACTGCTGTGCTAAAAACAGAATGAGGAGGAGAAAGAAGGACACCATGCTACCTTAGTTAAAAGCCTGCACAAAGAAAAGAGCAGCAAAATATTAACAGGTAAGATTTTCTTTTTTATTGAAAGGTTTAAAAACACTTTAAGTCTCTGTACACACAATGTGTATGCAACAGATGTGACCAAAGTATCTGTTTCTTACCCATTTAGGAGGGCCCACCCCAATAGTATATGGCCTGCAATCATAGTGAGAACAAACACTAGATTTTTAGATCATTTTTACATCAAGCATCCAAACCATATCTTTTGGTAAGCTAGTTAGCTTAATGCAATTTTCATGGTTGAAGGTTTTTATGGTCTCTCTACGCCACCATATTTGGCTAGGGGGTGGCACTGCTGGTTAAATCTAGATACTAAAGCTCTAGATAGGTAAGGCTACAATACATTTGTGGAAGTTGGACTTTTCTGTGTTAATACTTAAAGGGGTCAAAAACATTTTTGTACCGGTTCCTACATAGCCTACCACTGCTATAGATATTCCTTTTGTCTTGTAGGACTGGTGCTCTCTTACCTTCGGGATTGAGTATCCTTTGAAAAAGGTGTCTCTGGATGTACATCGAGGAAGACTGACTGGCAGCACATCACAAAATCGAATAAGCTCATAGATTGCGGCCTCTGTATAGGGCATTTTGCTTCGGTCAGCAATGGATGGCAATCGGTCTCTTCCAACAACGCGGTCAATCTCTTCTTGCATTTTCCCTGGACCAGGAAACAATATGGAAGTAATGAAAACTGAATATATTTGTTGTGGCATTCTGAGCTCCATGAATGTGTCAAAATTTCACATTTATTTCAAGAGGGGGTGTGTGGCCTTAGAATACAATCATAGTCTATGGCATCGGTTACAATAGTATTCCATCATTCTAGCAGCTCACGTTATATGCATTGGTGCATTGCAGTGTTGATCATTTTTTAATGGCACCCCAATGCGTTTTGCATTGCAGTGCACCAGAAAACATGGTAAAACACAGCCATACATTGTGGTGTACTGCGTCAGGAAAAAAAAATACCTCAGCCTTTTATTTGCTGTCTATTCTGGGGTGTTGGCAGCCCCTACAAAATTAATGGGCTTCATTAACATAATGCACATTACCACACCAGAGCAGACAGGTAAGAATTAGTCTTAAAGGTTTTGTATTTTAAAAAGGCGATGGTTTGGGTTGTATAGGGAAACCATTGTTATGATCACAAGTGCCACCAGTTAAATCCTGCCAATTAAGATTCATTCTTCTGGGTTAGAGTTATTTTCAGCCAGTCATTAAACTGTTTCATGTATCACATGCCTCATACAAATTAAGTTATCTTCAAAGTTTGGCAAAGGCAGGACATCTCTGTAATACATGTCAGCCCAGCCCATTGTATTTTGCTAAATTACGCAGCCACTCTCACACTCAGATCTTAATTTCTCAGTGATGCCACAGATGTCTCTTCGGAGTTCAGATTGTATAGACTTCACTGGCTGTATTCTTGTTCCAGATTTGGGACTCACTAGGTAGTAAGGCCAGGATCATCATAAGAGCTATCTGAGCTCTTAAAAAGAATTTCAGCCATAGCAGTGCTCATATTTACATCCTCACAGGTTAAATTATAGGTTTTAGGATGAATTGGGAACTCACCTGCCACCTCTGGGTATTTCATGAGCACCAGGAATCCATATCTCAGGTTAGTGCTGACTGTCTCTGTCCCTCCAAAAAGCAGATTTTGAATTGATCTGGCCAATGCTTTAGCATAAAAGGCGGTGCCTGGATTATCCTTTTCCTTCACATGTAAAAAGAGTTTCAATATGTTAAAGTAATATATACAGTATATATATAGCTTTGCATAAATAATATATTGTGTTCAATATAAACAATAACCTGTTCTCCCTGGCTTTCCAAAACTAAAAAAAAAAGAATTGTTGGAGTGAGCAGTGCCGAATTTTTACTACCTGCGCCCCCAGGCTTGTGCTATCTTTCGATTTCAGTTGATACAAGCTCAGATGTCATAGCCACACCAGTAATGCCACGGCTGGGATGGGGGAGAAGGGACGGGACTGTTTGTCCATTCTCAGTAAGCACAACCAGAGGGCTATAAGAAAGCAACAGACATTTGTCAAATTCCATGCCTTGCGGTGCACTGTGTTAAAAAATGGGTCATGTCTGTTTTAGGCTATGTTGTGGTGCATTGGTATACTTAGTAGCCCCTTGAACACAAATAGGCTGGCTTAATGGAAAGTGCAGCACAACATTTATGTTTTTTTTTTCTTTTCTGCTCCTCCTTACATTCTTTTAATTACGTCAGAGCCTGTACCCCATCATCAATTGCTGGATTAAAATGACACTAAACCTAGGAGCTAAATGTAAAAAAATGTGTTCAACTATATTAACTATTAACAACAATGTATCTTATTTGTGTGTCACTCAGCTGTAGATCCTCTAATTATCTCTGAACTGGTGCTGAGATAGTCACACTCCAAGCTCACTCAATACAGAGATTGTAGTCCATCACGGGAGCGAGCTTGGAGTAATATACACACATAGGGACCATGGGGAATTGCAGTCCCCCTCCAGAAGGAAGGACAGTGTCAGCACCAATTCAGAGATGATTTGATGATCTACATCCGAGTGATACACAAATATGTTATGTTTTTGTATGTTTTTGTTATTAGTTAGGGTATCTGAATGCATTTTTAGAATTTGACTCCTGTAGTAACACTTTAGCTTTCAACAAATGTAGAAGAAATGTCTGCTCCTAATTGCATTCAGTGAGGTTAATACATTCTAAACCTTTTTTTAGTCAGATCACCCTTTAAAACTATGCAAAATCTGGCCCTCCAGTCGAAAATGTAAAACAATATCGTTGGCCCTTCCAAAATCTATACCAGACCCTTACCAGTTTGCTATGGATTTAAGGGGTGACCCCATGCAAAACCACAAAAAATTGGGTTCTTCACTTTATATCAGTAGCCCCCTGCTTTCATATTAGAGGCTTTCCTACACAGTGCAAAGGAATGATGCAAAGATTTGAAGGCACCTCTGAGGAAGCCACAAGGCACCCTGGTTGAGAAAGGCTGGGTTTATATACAATGGAGTCACAAACAAATAAGAAGCCTCCCTTCTTGGTCTGAAGATAAGTCTGGGTTTGTGATTACCTCTTCGATCTTCATGAGGAAACAGTCAATGTAGTCACGAGGATTTTCAGGATCCAGAGTCTCCTCGTGTTGTTTAATGCTTTCGGCTGACATGTCATAGATCATATTAAAATACTTCCCGATTTTCTTGTGTGGACCTGGCACATATTCCATGAGGTTTGGATACATGTTGTATAGCTGTGTTGTCAAAACATAAAGTAATAAAAGAAGAAATGAAACATTAAAGAGTGATCAGAGAAAACCATAAACAGTTCCACCAAACACAAGACAACCCTCTAGGGTCTTTGAGAATAAAAGGCTTGTGCTCAAGGTCTGGTAGCATATTTAATAGAGGTGCTATATTGTAGTGACCGAGAATATCGATTCCCTGAATAGTGCTAGACATTCGTGAGTCTACAATTTTTCTTTTTTGGAATGTGTGTGAGAAAATTATCAATTGAAAGCTCAAAGAGAACTATAGCCAAACCTTTTTTTTTGGTTATAGTTCTCTTTTGGGTTACAGGAGGACATTTACTAGTGTACTCCTGTGACCTAAAGTAATCATATAGCGGGCTACTGTGCACTATATGCTGACACCGCAGAGCCGCTCTGTGGCCAGGAAAGATCCAACAATATTGTTGGGATCCACCCTACTGCCTGATTGACAGCTGGCTCTGCCTCTCTAGGCAGGTACACCTATGACGGCCCCCTCCCCTGTCTGTCCCACCAAAAAGCATTAGAGGAACAGAGGGGAGGGGGGAGTCCTTGCGGTGAATGACAGTCATTGCTCTCTGCATTGCTCTCTGCCATAAGCTGAGCAATCAGTGGTTTGTGATCACTTGGTTCTTGATCTTTAGAGCCCATGTGTGACAGCTGCAGTGTCCCACGTTGGGAAGAATACATTTTACTCTCCCAATATTTCTCCTTTAATAAACAAATATTATGAATTTATATAAATGTTTTGGAAAAAAAATGTAAGTACATGTGAAGGTTTTCATTTATCCAGGTCAAGTAGTTAGTCAAATTCAATCAGATTTATTTAGTAAACTTAAAGCTAAACTATAAGCCAGTTATAGGCAAACTCCAGCCCTCCAGCTGTGGTGAAACTACAATTTCCATCATGCCATCTGCTTCTGGGAGTCAGGCCTGTGGCTGCCAGAATCTTGCAATATCTAATGGGATTTGAAGCTGCACCACAGCTGGAGGACTGGAGCTTTCCTACCTCTGCTCTAGGCTGCTATTAACACAGATCAATGCAGCTCTATAATCAATCATACACTCTTTATATATTTGTTAAATGCAAACAGTGCAAGAATCTGAATTTAACTTGGTATTACTGTACTGTACATCAGAACACAGACAAGGGGAGGGAGGAGCAGCACAAGGAGACAGTCAATGGTGCTGCAGTACAAACCACATGCAAATTGGAGGAATGAGCAGAGTGACAGAGAGTTGAGTACATTAGTCTAATACTTCCCCTTTTACTGCCCAGTCATAGACTGGGGGAGGAACAGGACCTGCAAGTAAGTGTTACTGAACTACATCAGAGAGCAATCAGCTCTTCAGACCTGCCCGGCAGTGTTGTGTAGTGTGGTAGAGCAGTGTCAAATTTGCTGTTTGTCTGGAATTCAGATGTTGAAGACATTTTACAATTCATCTGAGTAACACATGTCAGGAAAGGCATACCTACATCACTTCCGCATACTCCAGGAGTTATACCCAATGCATTAAGGCAAATTAAGACTGTCTAAGAACCTTAATAGAGGTGTGAAAAATAAACTAGGTGGTATCTGATCCCCAAGCAGGTCAACACTGTTGGTGGGCTTCTATGTCACACCTTGGTCCATAAGCTGTAGTGTCTTCTGCAGCTTTCCCCTTCTTTCCCTTGTAATTGTGTTTCAGTGTAAGACCACCAATAGCAAGGTCAGTGGATTATGAGGTCAGCAACCCATAGATAAAATAATGATCAAATGTGTCCCACGCATTGCTTATTATGTTAACACTTAGCAATCTTTTGACAAGTTTTTTTGATTATGTTCACACTACCCATTTTAATTGTCCATCTGATTGAGGACTATAAAATCTTCCTCTCAATACTCACCGTCCCCCAGGTGCCGCTCATAATAAGGAAGTTGTTGTAAATACTCTCAGTTACAGCCAACAGTCTTTTGTCTTCATAATTAAACCGACTGCCAAATACAATAGAACAGATCACATTGCAGACTGTTTGAGCCAAGTATTTGGTGGGATTCACTGGAGTCCCTATGTAAAAAAATTAAAAAGTCATGCACGTCAGTGTTATTTATTTTCCCTGTTTAGTGACACATTCATTAGTTTCTTATGATGTATATGTTCACTATTCACATCATTCCATTAGTAACCCAGGGTGCTCAAACTGCAAACTATATATCCCTTAGTCATCTCTTAAATGTCTTTGCCCTTATAAACTTTAAAGCCCATCCATCCCCTCATTGACTGCACCCTCCTTGTTCGGGCCTGCAACCTTTCTAAAGGTGCCCATACACTGCACGATTATCGTACGATAATCGTATGCGATCGGTTTTTCGTCCGATAATCGAGAAGTGTGAACGGAGACGTGTGACCGTTTCTACTGTACGGTCGCACGTCTTCTGTCGAACCAGCATGTTCGAAAACCAGCCGGGAATCGTACGATTCTCGGCTGGTTAGAACGGTGCTCGGAAGACAAATGCCGAACGGGCCGGTGTGCGCACGCACACACTGCCCGTTCAGCATTGCGGTCATCGGAAGCCCGCCCCTCAGGGATTTCAAAAATATATAATTTTTATTGTTTATTTTTTATCAATTTACAAAAAGCAAAGTGAGTGAACAGAAAAGAATCTAATCAATATTTGGTATGACTACCCTTTGGCTTCAAACCAGCATCAATTCTTACACGTGCACAAAGTCAGGGATTTTGTAGGAATAGAGTCAGGTCTATGACTAACAATTATACCAAGCAGGTGCTAATGATCATCAATTTCATATGTAGGTTAAAACACTAACATTAACTGAAACAGAAACAGCTGCGTAGGAGGTCTAAAACTGAGTGAGGAACAGCCAAACTAATGGTCCCCACGCACCTTACGATAATCGCACGATAATCGCGGGAAATCCCGCGATCGTACGATTATCGTAAGGTGTGTGGAAGCCGTTCGACCTCCACTACTGTAAGGTCGCACGACTTTTAACTTACGGACATGTTCGAAAACCCGCCAAGCATCGTACGATGTTCGGCGGGTTTGTGGCATGTTCGTACGATAAAAGCCGTACGGGCCGGTGTGCGCAAGCGCCCACTGCCCGTTTGGCATTGCGGTCATCGGACTATCGCAAGTACGATCTGCCTATGCAAGATAGGCAGATCGTATGTTTTTTTAAGTACCTCACAACCATCGCAAGACAAAAGTCTTGCGATGGTTGTAAGGTGTGTGCCCAGCCTTAGGTGAGGTTGTGGAACACAGTTTCACATCACAGGTCAAACACCACGGCAAGACTGATCACAGCAACAAGGCACAATGTAGTTATACTGCATAAGCAAGGTCTCTCCCAGGCAAAGATTTCAAAGCACACTTGGGTTTCAAGATGTGCTGTTCAAGCTCTTTTGAAGAAGCACAAAGCAATGGGCAATGATGAGGACTGTAGGCGCAGTGGTAGGCCAAGGAAACTTAACCTCCCTGGCGGTATTCCCGAGTGTAGCTCGGGGTTACTTTTCCATACCATAAGCGGTAACCCCCGAGCTACACTCGGAAAAGCTGCATAGCATTTACTTACCTTGTCCCTCGAGCTGCGCTGTGTTCTGCGGCCGATGCCGGCTTCCAGGCTCCGTCGCTTGCGAGCGTACGCGTCGCAGGGGGCGGAACCGGCGGGATATTTAAAAAAATAAATTAAGAAAAAAACGACAAAGACGAAAAACATTCGAAAAAAAATAGACCGAAAAATGACATGACAAAAATTAAGAATCATACCGCCAGGGAGGTTAATGCAGCAGATGAAAGACACATCATGCTTACTTTCCTTCAACATCGGAAGATGTCCAGCAGTGCCATCAGCACTGAACTGGGGGAAAACAGCGGGACCCAGGTACACCCATCTACTGTCTGCAGAAGTCTGGGTAGAAGTGGTCTCCATGGAAAAATTGTGGCCAAACAGCCATGAAACAAGGCTAAGCAACTCAGCTGTGCAGAAAAACATTGAAACGGGTGCAGAAAAATGGCAGCAGGGGCTCTGAACTGATGAGTCAAAATGTGAAATATTTGGCTGTAACAGGAGGCAGTTTGTTTGCTGAAGGGCTGGAGAGCGGTACAATAATGGGTGTCTGCAGACAACAGTGAAGCGTGGTGGAGGTTCCTTGCAAGTTTGGGGCTGCATTTGTGCAAATGGAGTTGGAGATTTGGTCAGGATCAATGGTGTCCTCAATGCTAAGAAATACAAGCAGATACTTATGCATCATGCCATACCATCAGGGAGGCGTGTGATTGGCCCCAAATGTATTCTGCAGCAGAACAATGACCCCAAACATACAGCCAATGACAAAAAGAACTACCCTAAGACGCACTCCCCCCCCCCCCAAAAGGCGGGGGAAAATGTGGGTGCGTCTTATGGGGCGAATCCCTAGTTTTTTTTGTACTTAGTTTTTGTGCTTTTGTGCTAAAGCAGAGCTAAACGTGCAATGGAAGCCGCTGCAATGGAAGCCGTGGTTTCCAGGTCCCCCAGAGGAGCGGATAGGAGCTCACCATAGAGCCCCCTAGAGCAGACGAAGAACATCCGTTCTTCGTCTGCTCTGTGTGATCACTGAGACAGCAGCGCTGAAAACACAGCGCCACCTGTCTCAGCAGTCACTTACTGCAGCTTCTGTCACAGAAACTGTGACAGAAACTGCCTGCGTCCTATGTACCGGTGCACCTTATGGAGCGCAAAATACTGTATCTTCAGAGTAAAGAAGGGCAAGGAGTCCTGGAGTGATGGTTTGGCCCCCACAGAGCCCTGATCTCAACATCATCGTGTCTGTCTGGGATTACATGAAGAGACAGAAAGATTTGTGTGCAAGTGTAGCTAGAAGAACTGGAACTGTTTTGAAGGCAAAGGGTGGTCAAACCAAATATTGATTTGATTTTCTCTTCTGTTCATTTACTTTCCATTTTGCTAATTTATAAAAATACATTATTAACACTTTTATTTCTGAAAGCATTCTTACTTTACAACATTTTTTTTTACACCAGCCTAAAAGGTTTGCACAGTACTTTATGCAATGGACGTACCATTTATCTTTTTAAACTCTTTTATGAGGAACATAGCCTCCTCTTGTATCCGCTCCTCCACACTCCTTTTCCCCATTCCAAAGTTCCTCAGTGTAACCAAAGCGAAGCGTCGAAGTGACTTCCATCTCTCCCCATTGGTAAAGCAAAGGTCTGTTAGAGAAAAAAAATTCAGGTTTAAGATATTTGTGGGAGCCAAATGTTCTTATGAAAGAGGAAGCAGAGTATATCTCTATTAAAATCCAGCCTAGATCCAGAATTATGTCAAGATCTGTTGGTTCAGAGCCTAAGCTTCACCCATAGGTTTATCATACTGTATACGTGGAAACATTGTTACCATGTTAAGAGTACTGACATATGAATATTTCAAATCTTTTTTCAGCCAACAGGTGGAGCTGTGGTCTTCATTTTACATATTTATCAGGCTATTCCTAACTGTCCTGTAGAAAAAGAGTCTGTTTTATAGAACTGCTCCCAGCTCCAACTCTAGCTGCATACAAGCAGTTGGATATGTTAGATTAGCCACTTATCCCCCTACACCCCCCTTGCTCCTTTTTTTTCTTGTCATGTATGGCTCTGAACAGATTTCCAATTAAAGAGAAACAGTCTGAAAGCAAAGAACTAGTGCTGCAATTTTATAAGCTCTGTAACACCCGGGTTATGGGTGCACGCTGTTTTAAATATTTATTGGTAAAATATGAATGTATTGACCCAAAACCATTATTGCTTCCTTTAAAAAAAGCACTGTGGTTGAATCCCTTATACTGTTATAGAGCTTGTTGGTTCAGCACCACGGACAGCGAAAATTACATTATATAGGTTTCAAGGCATTACATTAATTTGTCCACAGACCCTTTTATTGATATGTAACTAATATAGCTACATTTTACCCTAAGGCGCGTGAAGTGTTTTGTTGCACATAAAAACGCGAAATAAAAACAAGAAATCTCATTCATTCCTATGGCCCCTGTTCACAACTAAGCATTTTGTCGCAAGCTTCTTTTTGGCAGATTACAGAGCGTTTTGTTCCCATAGACTCAATAGGAAATTCTTGCAAATATGCGACACAATATTTTTTGATCGCGTTTTACACGCAGTTGTCCATTTACATCAATGTGTACGCAAAAATGTGTGACTTAATTGACGCGCATCTGACGCATGCAAAAAAAGGTGCAGTCGCTATTGCCTAGGTGGGAATGCAGCCAAAGAGATTTAAACCCTTTACCATTTTAAAAGACAAAAAGTTTTCTTTAGCTCTTGGCGCTAATGGCTGCCAGCTGGACAATCCACTTGCTGTTGCTCACTCAAAGTTTTCAACAGTTTATCACAGTTTTTTTTACACAGACTTGAGGGGCTGCTTATCCAAGGCTCTGGGGCTTCCACCACGGACATAGAAAACAAAAGGGAACAGAGAATTCTGAGGAAGGGGGCTTGCCCCTGAAACGCGTCAATCTTGGCTGACTGCGGTCGGTGATGTGACCGGATACTACCGTGTTACATAGTCGGGGGGCTACCATGTTGGGTCATCAGACAGTGTGGCCTCTCGTTTGTTGTTAAAGCCTGATGAAAACGTTTGTTTGTGAGTACTTTTATCCCTTGTTTTATTTATTGTAATCAACTATTTTACACACGGAGGTGGCGCTCTGTTCCCTTTTGTTTCCTTTTGTTTCCTTTACCATTTTAGTAGCCCCTTGAATGCTCTATACTTTGCTTGCTCTATATGTACCCTTGTTATTTGAAGCTATGAAATGGTTATTCAATCCAATAGTTTCCTAAGCTTTATTTTGCAGTGGGAAATTATCTCAAGGAAAATAGGATGAAACCTGAATGTGAATCATTGCTTCTGATTGCACAGTCTCAACTTCCAATTAAAAGCTTAAAGATGAGCACACAGCCTGTATCTCACCTAGGATGCTGTTCAAGCTACAGATCTGTGCAGCACTATAGCAAGCATATTGTAAGGAGACGTCAGTAGTAGTGTCTGTTGTCATATAAGGCTAATGCCTAGCGTGCCTTATGATAATCCTGTTCCCACTAAAACTGATATTTAGAAGCTGACTGTGAAAATCCCACAGAAGCTTTGAATCTGCCAGTAAGACCTTTGTTATCCCATCCTTTGTTATGGGATGTCTCACTTTGCCTGATTTTTTATTTTCATTATGGTTACATTATGAAGACTGCAGCAGCAGGAATAAGACTTCTCTCCCTCTATGAACTAACTGAGAACTGGGATCTCTAGTGAGGGCATCTTATGACTAGAACCCACAAAAAAATATGGGAAGCCAGTAGGTCGTCAGAAATTTAGCTGAATTAGGAGATCCTCAGTTACATAGTTAGTCAGGTTAAAAAAGACACATGTCCATCGAGTTCAACCTATAGAGATAAGAAAAAAAAAAAAAAGAAGAAAACCCTAAAACAGAACGCTATGCCCACAGTTACCCACTGTTGATCCAGAGGAAGGCAAAAAAAATCCCCTATAAAGCATGGTTCAACAGGGGGAAACAAATGCCTTCCTGATCCCATAAGGCAATCAGATATTCCCTGGATCAACAATTTCTGGTGCTGAATATATATGTATATGTATATATATGAACTCAATATCCAGTAATATTCTGTGCATTTAGGAATACATCGAGATTGGTTTTAAAGCAGTTAACTGAGCGAGCTAGAACTAGCTCCTGGGGGAGTCTATTCCACATTTTCACTGCTCTAACTGTATGGCGTCCGGGTCCCCCCCAGAGGCGGGGGAGTGTATGACGCATGCATGTTTTTAGTCCCCAAGTGCATAACTTTACATTTATCAACATTAAACCTCATTTGCCAAATAGATGCCCAATCACACAGTGCATTCAGATCTGCTTGTAGGTTAGAGACATCCTGTAAGGACTGTATTCCACTATATAACTTGGAGTCATCTGCAAACACAGAAATAGTACTTTTTTTTTTTTAAAACATATTTTATTGCATTTTTTTCCCCCCCAATATGTCTTCAAGGGTTTGTCATACAATTATGCCCAAAGAGATACATATATTCAAAACAATATATCAAATACAATAGGCCCATTTCCTAGGACCAACATATACAAACCCCCCCGCCCCCCATCCCCCATGTGCTGGTCACCCCTTTAACAGAGTTACAAAGCTCCGCCTCCATTACCCCATTACTCAAAAACAGGTATGCTGTTACTTTTAATCCCCAACTTTACATCATTTATAAATAGATCAACAGTAAGGGGGCCCAACACTGAACCTTGGGGGACACCACTAACAACCTCAGACCATTCAGAGTAGGAATCATTGATCACCGCTCTCTGAGTCTTTAAGCCAGTTTTCTATCCAATTACAGATGGAATGCTCTATACCTACTGACCTTAACTTATACATTAGCCGTATGTGGGGAACTGTGTCAAACACTTTTGTAAAGTCCAAGTATACCCTATATCTACAGCCATTCCTCTGTCCAATTTATTACTCACTTCCTTATAAAAAGAAAGTAGGTTTGTTTGACAACTTCTGCCTTTTGTGAATTTGATCCCTTTTTACATATAGGCACCATATTGGCCTTGCGCCAGTCCATTGGTACCAAGCTAGTCATTAGAGAGCATCTAAAAATTAGATACAATGGCTTTGAAATCACACAGCTCAATTCTTTGAGGACACGTGGGTGTAAGCCATCCGGTGCAGGTGCTTTGTTCACCTTAATTGTCTAACTGTTTCAGGATCATATCAATAGTCAGCCATTGTTGTTCAGTTGAGGGTATGGCACTGCTCTCCCCATTATGGACTTGAATTACATCCTGTTCCTTGGTGTGCACAGAGCTGAAGAAAGTATTTCATAGATTTGCCTTCTCTTTGTCCCCAGTTACCAACTCTGAGTTATTTTTTAAGGGGCCTACATGCTCAGACCTGATTTTTTTTTACTATTATCCACTTGCTGACCGGGGTGTTTACATCCCCTTCCTGTCCAGGCCATTTTTCAGTATTCAGCACTGCGGTACTTTGACTGACATTTATTCTGTCATGGAATGCTGTACTGAAATTCATTTTACACCATTTTTGGGGACAGATAGAGCTTTCTTTTGGTGGTAATCACCACTGGGGTTTTTATTTTTTACTATTACTAATGAAGTAATTTTTACTAATTTTTACTAATGAAAAAAGTACCGAAAATTTTGACAAAAAAAGTTTTCCCTACGTTATGTTATAAAACATTTATTATTACCCAAATTATTGGCAAAATATAAAAGATGGGGTCACGTTGAGTAAATAGACACCAAAGATGTTAAGCTTTAAAATTGCGTGCGCCCGCGAACTCGCAATAACTACCATTTCCAAAATTGGCCATAGGCGACGCTTTAAAAGCTTTTACCGCTCATCAGGTTAGTGTTATCAGTGATTGACGGCCCTAGAATGATTGCTCTCACTGCGATGTTTGCAGCGATATTTAACATGTGCGGCGTAATGGATGCAATCGTCGTTTCCGCACGTAGGCGCACTCGACGCATGTTTGCATGTGTATGTGGGGGGCGGGGACTTACATTTGTTTTATTACCTTTATATGTGACTTTTAATTTTTAAATATTTTTTGTAACTAATTCTTTTAAACCTTTTTTTTCCACTTAACTGTATTGCTATCACATAGGGGGCTAACAAGCCCTGTGTGATAGCCAATTTTCAGTGACAGGTCCTCTTTATGGAGACATCAGGGGTCTCTAAGACCCCTAATGTCACCTAGGGACCCCCAGAGAAGCTGATGAAGCCAAAACCTGCTTCACCAGCTTCTCTCCGGTTTCTGTACCGGAGAGTGACAGAGGAATGCGGAAGTGATGTAATACACATGACTTCCTGCATTCTGAAGAGGAGGAGATCAAACATAGCTTGTGTACTGATCTCCGGCCGCAGAGCTGCTGTGCCCGTCCAGGGCTCACACCGGGCACAGCAGAGCACGGGATCACCAGCAGCGCAGGGGGCGCACACCCGCACGAGTATTACAAGCAGCGGAGGGGGGCGCACACCCGCACGCATATTACAAGCGATTGGGCGTCTCTACAGACGCCCGAATGCTTGTATGTAAACAGCCATAGCTGGCTCTTTACATTCCAGGCTGATTTCCCGCTAGGCGGCGGGCACGAGCGGGGCGGGATAGGACGTTTAAAAACGCCCACCCGCATTCAAGAAGCCGCTGTCCGGCTGTTTCATTACAAAGGCCGGACAGCAGGTGGTTAATATATTTAAATAATTTTTTGGAGTTTGTGTTGCGCTCTTTTGCAACCTGTTGTTCGTTATGAATCTTTGCGATCTTTATTTCCTTTTTACATATTTTGTTGTAAAAATGAAGGAACACTTGTCATTTGAAAGCTACAAAGAATATATATTTTAAACGTCCTTTTCTTATTCTTTATGGCTTTTTTAAACATTGGATGGGTTTTCTTTTCAGTCTTTTAAACTTATTGCTTACAGGAATATATTTTGCAGTATGTTTGTGAACAATTGTTTTGAAACATTCCCATTTTTGTTCTGTGTTTTTTGATGAAAATATTCCCTCCCAGTCAAAGTCTCCAAGAGCAGCCCTCAGCATGGGAAAATGTGCTTCCCTGAAGTTAAGTGTTTTTGTTTTTCCAGTATGTGCATGTTTTTTACAACTTAAGGTAAATTATATCATATTATCCTTTTGTGATGTTTTTTTCTTCATTTAGTAGTGATACGCATGCTGCTCTATGAGTGGCCCATCTAGTGATCCATGATGGGACTATTATAGATCTCTGTCTATGGCTGCCTTCAGGCCAATCATATATAATCACATGAAATTCATTTTCAGAAGAGAAAAGAATGCAAAATTATCTCACCATGTTCACCTATGAAGTTCAAGAACACAGGATAGTCTCCTCTATCTCCAAATGCTTCATTTTGGTCAATCAATGCTTCCTTTACAGTGTTGTATCCACATAGGACAATTCCAGGTCTAGGCCCCAGGTACAGACTGTAAACTGGTCCATACTTGTCTTTTAGCTGTAGAAAAGTGAAAGGAGACTTCACATGTTTATCTAATCCATGGGCCAGGATAGGTCTTGAGATCCTATTCCTCCATCATAATTTGGCACCTATTCCACCCACAACTGCTAATATAGCTTCTAGGTCAGGGTTACACCCTTCCCTCTCTTCTATCAGATATGAGGATAACTGCCTTAAACAATTATACACAGGGTGTAGGCAAGCATATAGGAAGTGGTCCTCTCTCTTTTAAGCACTGCCAACAAGCACTTTTAAGCACTGCCAACATTCTTGTAAATTAAAGAGGAACTTTACCAATATCTACAAAATAACAACAAAGACACCTTGAGAAATGTTTACCAATAACAATCTACAAACAGATACTAATAGATAATTGCAGGCTTTTTATTCTTTGCATATCCCAGTGCAAACTAAATTTCGTCCAATAAACTACATTTCGACCGGACTACCGCTAACGAATTTCGGGAATTCGGATTCGTTTGCATTCGTTTTAGCTGTAAGCTAAAACGAATGCTTAGATGGAAGCATCCGAATCTCCTAATTTCCGAAAATTCATCCGAATTGTGATTCGGAATGAAACGAATCGCACATGTCTACTGCTGATGTAACCTTCCCAGGATGCAATGCTTGGGCACATTACATCACTTTTGCCAAAGAGAACAAGGAAGTCGAAAAAAAGAAATTGTAAGAAAAATGAAAATATATTTAACTAATGAATGTAAGATGATTTCATATGAGCATGCAGAGCTGCATGCTGAGGTAATTTTTTGCCAAAGGGGGGTAAAGGTCTGCTTTAAGTGCCATAGACACACAATATATGAAAGTGTATGTATAGCTCAAATATATTTTTTGGTTTAGTTTAGTGTGGAAGGGTTTGAACCCATGTCAAATCTTTATTGCGGTTTGCATTCCTACTGGTTAGATTTCTCTTCTCATAATTTTTCAGTGGTCAGCAGAATATGAAGGAATAGTAAATCTTCCAAAGGGAATACTTGTTCCTGCGACAACTGTTGAAAGGGAGAAAAACCCTGACTTGGGGAGATTTCCATTGACCTGGAGCCATGAAGTAAGTCAAAATCTCTCCTAACAGGACACGGTGAGCCAAGAAAATACTATACATGCATGTATACTTGGAAAATCAAATAGAATTGACCAAAACATTATACAGGCAGTCAGTGCTCGTGCTGACGAGGAGTGCTCGCCTTTTTGGATCTGGTGCAGACTAGGGATCTCCGCCTCTTCTTCTGCGTCACTGTGAGGTTTTTACTGCTGTTTGTATCCTCATTAGAAAGATATAATCTCACTTCCTGTCCTTGGGACAACAGGAAGTGAGAGGAAATCTACCCCTAAGAAGGGAAATTCACTCCTGTAAGAGTTATCATGGGAAAAAGGTGTCTCCACTGAAGGTTTATCACCAATCCTCGTTTCCAGAACAGCCCAAAATGTTCAAAATCCAATTGTCCCAGAAACTTAAGAACAAACCTACAGTCTGTATCTTGTTTGTAACCCGGGGACTACCTGTTCATTAATTAAGTCATGTACAAAATATCAAAATAGAGACAATTAAACTGTTTGCTGCCTAGCCTTTGCACTTTACTAAATAGCTTCAGTTGCTGTTAGAAATTGCTGAGATTTATGGACTCCACAGCACACCATCCTCATCAGGTTTTAACTGTCTGATTGGGAATGCAATTTCTTTCTACATGACACCATGTTGTGCTACTTTTCTCTGTCGAAGAGATAGCAAAGTTTGGAATACTCAACCTAAACATACATACCAGTTAGTAACTGATGGTCCCAGAGCAGTAGATCATCCAGAGAGGGAAAATATCTGTTTGATGGAAAAATAACAGCCCTGGAAAGGCAGGCAGGCAGGGTGCTTCCATACATTTCAGAACTTAAAGTGACATGTAAAGTGACACTATACCTAGGAGTTAAATCTTAAAACTGCATTCAAGTAACTTAACCCTTACCAAAAATGTATCTTATTTGTTTATCATTCGGCTGTAGATCCTCCAATCATCTCTGAAGTGGTGACTTAAAATGGTCATGAATTTCAGAATAATAAAAGACATACAGAAGATAAAGATGAGGAGATATGTGGCATACCAATCCATACTGTTACCTGCCACCTAGACACAATGTAAAACCAATGGTCTTCTTTCTCCTTTCTTATGTATGCCAACTGCTTTTATATTTCTTGTCTTTCTGTCTTACCCTCTTGCCATTTCTCAGTATTTATATCCTTCTTCAAATATGGCACAACTCCCATCACAAACCAAATCAAAATATGTAAGTGTTCCACCCAGTGAACCTCATTACTTTGATAATTTGATTTTGTTTGTGCCAGAGAATATTATTAAGAAAAAGCCTGCAAGCAAGATCGAGAAAAAAACAAACCAAATAGAAAAGAAAGTCATAGGATTCTATGTTAGAAGAGCAAAAGAGATGCAAAAATCAGAAATAAGATTATATTTATGGTAAGAGAGAGGAGTAGGTGGAAAAGAGAGGAGGAGATAAATAATTCACACTTGTAAAGAAATTGAGAGGAAGAAATAAAAGATTGTAGTAATATATAAATTATATATATCTACGAGTCAAAAATTATCCGCACTCTGGCTGCAGAATTTTTTTTAATCAACTTTTAGAAAAGACAAATACATAATTTTTTGACATAATCTCCTTGCTTTTCAATACACTTTGTCCATCTGTCAACTACCTTTCGTATTCCCTCATTAAAAATGTTTGGCTGAGCTGCGAGAAACGAGCTAGATCACTTCAAAACAAAGTTTTTGGAGAGTGTCATCAGTGTGAGCAGAGGTGTGCAGATGTGCATTGTCATGCAAGAGCACAACGCCCTTGGATAGCAGTCCTCTGCGTTTAATCCAAACTTAAGGATTCAGCTCTTCAATGAGCATCTCACTGTAATGAGCACTGTTGATTGTTGTACCTTTGCACGCATGGTGGGGCATCCATTTTTTCTCGCACCGCAGTTACAAATGAACTGACGTAACATGTTTACACCTGCACAGCAGTGACTGGGAAGACAGTAGCCCTGAACGGAAAGAGCTGATAAGCCCGGATAATTTTTTGAGATAAAGAGAGAGAATGCAGTTTTACGAAGAGATACTGCCAATGCAGCATATCAATGTATTGCACCACCCCCATTATAGGGAACACTGTGGGGTGTATTTATAAAAAAAAAATGCATGGCCTATTCTTCCGCAAAACTGCATGTACATTAATTCTGAGCGAATGGGAGCAAAATGAAAGTTACCAGTATATCTTCTGTATATCCAGTATTGACCAGTATATCCGGTCAAATGTAAATAAATAAAGTGTTTCAGGAAAATACCACCATGATACTCAGCTCCATCCAGTGGCCATAATTGTGTATTTTCCCAATCTTACATTTAAGCATGAAAGAAAATATACTAATACAATTTGGTTTTGCCCCTTTCACACAGAACAGATGTACATGCAGTTTTACAGGACGAATGTGTTTGTTATTTTTTTGATATAAACACTCCATAGTTTTGTGAGTTTGCAGATATATGGGGAAATCAAAGAAAAAAATAAAATAAAATGTGTATGCTTAGAAATAAAAGCTAAGCTTTAGTATTTGGTGGGTAAAAATGCCGAGTGCATCAACTTTTGGCATTCAATCTCAGTTCTAGGAACTAAAGCACTCCATCCTATTTTTTCCAATTTACATTTAGTCAACAAAATTTGGAAAATGCATCAGGCAGCCTAGGTAGATTTGTCTAAAAATGATAAAGTACTAAAGAGGTATACAGGGCTTACTGGATTATTAAAGCACCATGTCCCAATCAAATTCATGCGTTGATCATTCATTAAATATAACAGAATTATTATTATGGTGGTGAAATGGGCATAACTCCAGGAGGTAGAGGTTTATCAACCTCAACCTTTCTAGGGCCGGGACCCCTTGGTAACATTTGCCAAGTTGTGGTGACCCCCAACAGAGCGCTGGACTCCAGAATTAGTAAGGCGCTGGACTTGGGACTAAAAATAGAACCACACTCACAAGAATACAAGACCTTCCCCAGCCCCTGTTACCTGCTTGCCTGCTCTGTCATCATGCAGCCTTCTCAGCCCCAGCATTGCTTAGACGCCCGCCTCCTGCAGAGCTCACATTGTATGGGAGGCAGGAGGACAGCAGCGGCTGTGAATAGAAAAGTCCTGCTGTACATACTACCCAGCCACTAGATGTCGCTGTAGCGGCCAGGGAGTGTGTATAGCAGCACTTTTATATTCACAGCCTTTGCTGTCCTCCAGCTGACTGACACTGCTGCGCTAGGAGGAGGCTGAGGAGCCTCTCACCTAGCGCAGTAGAAGTGGATGCTGTGACCCCCTCAACAGTGAGTTGCGACCCACAGGTTTAGAACCGGTGAGCTACAATATCATATCAACAAATGTTAACAAATATTTTTTACATATGCTATATTTTTAATAATTTCATAATAAAAAAAAAAAACCACAATTATTCATAATTCAGCCATGCAGTGGACCAAAAGGAGACCTAATCCGCAGCACAGGGAGGAGGCGAGAAGAATCACTTTGCATTCTCTTACATGCTGAGTTTTGAAACTATGGCACTAAGGGACAGAATAATGCAGAGAAAACCTTTTGAAAAGCGCCTACCACCAAATGAAAAAGGTTATAAGAGAAAGGTGCTTATTTATACCTAAAATACCTTAACAACAGGAAACAACCAGAATTATTACACATTTTTCTCAATACCACTACCAGGTTCAACAGTTGTTGCACAAATATTAGTATCTTCTTACCAGTGATGACACACAAGACTGATCGGAGCTAGCTTTCAAAATCTCCATCTCTATACTAGATAAACTATTTAAAAGTCACTATATAGGTGCATCTAAAAGGTGTCCCCTGCATATAGAGGGACACTTTTAGATGTGGTTCTTGTAGCCCATACCCTTGGGTCAATGAAGATGCCAATTTAATTCTTCCAAATGGTTTGGTTCTAAAACCCAAACACTTTGCATCAGTCTACTAGTGCAGTGGTTCTCAACCTGTGTAACCCCAGGACCCACATTTGTCCTTGGTCATTAAGTCATGACACAAGTTGCACTGCAATGAAACGCACGGCATTGCGGGCGATTGAACTGTGGGCAGGAGGTGCACCTCCCGCACCAGAACACGTAGTAAGTGCGATTGCGTGGTACAGTGCGTTAATTGCACAGGACTGTTCAATTAATACACTGTACTAGTGTGAACGGGCCCTCAAAAACATTGACAGATGCACACAACCACAGACACAATCTCACACACAATCTCACACACACATACACACTCCCAAAACATTTTTTATTTTTTTTAAGATCCCCTCAGTCTCCCTACCTTACGAGAACTGGAGTAAATCCCCATCCTGGGGTCCAGTGTGGGCTGCTGTGCTGTGACAGAGCTCCATCCATATGTGCATTGCTTGTGCAACTCTCTTGTGCGCCATGTAGAGTTGCCGGGAGCCAGAATTTAATGTCACTCCGGTCCAGGCACCTCTACAGGGCGTGCGAGGGAGTTGTAAAGCAATGCAGGTATGCATGGAGCTCCCTGGCAGCCATAGCTCCAGCCCACCCCACCTCAAGCTGACCCGCCAGTTGAGAACCAAGGTACTAGTGTATAACTTTTACAATGTCATTGTGAAGCATTTTATGTTGGAAAGATGAGGCGGCAGTTTTACAGCCACTTTTAGGATTATCTATGCTTAATGGAGTTCTGGAAACTAACTACACCTATTAGCAGACACGTAGCACTGCAGCGCCTGTGATGAGATTTGTTGCTCTTGATCACATCCACATAGCAGGAACTTTCATAGTTCCATTCTTAAATGTAAAACTCACTGGATATATGCACTCCCTGAGGTCTTGAGTTATATAAGCACTTTGTATGAAGCATTAGCATGCATTTTATATTATGCATTCAACACAACTAATGCCAACTAGTGATGGAATGTGGATTAGCATTATACTGTATATATGCATAGGCTTGTTACATAAGCTATGCTAAAGAGGAGCATCCCCCCACCCTCCCCCATGTTCAGTGATTTTCAGTCTCCTCTTACCTTTTTTGCTGGGTTATCGTCAATGAACATACGTCCATGCCCAGCAAACCCAGTGTTATTGTGATGCAATCTGCTGATGTGGGTCCCATGCCACCATCTTCCTTTCTTATGTAATTGGGAGGCAGCTGTCGCTTATTTGTGCTTGTAGCAGACACCCTGATAATGTGGCACCAGATTGTTCCTCCAACAGTGTGTGGAAGCTGATGCTTCCATGGACATGACATGGATTTACCAGAAGGTTGCAGGAGTAGGATTACATGTTATTGTTACCTATGCGAGACTTGCGGCAGTGTGAACTGTAAATAAATAATAAAACAAACAAACACAAACATGTCAATATCATCATTTTTAGATTATGCAGGGGGGAGATTTACATTGGTCCAAAGTATGCAATGCCCCTATTGTATCTTTGCTTAACCATATGATCATAGACATGTGCGCCGGCAAAATAATTCTGGTTGTTTTGTTTTGGATTGGATTTTTCGGAATTCAGGTCCGAAACTCAATTTGTTCTGGGATTCCGATTCGGACAAATCCAAACTTTTCATTAATTTTGCATAGATGATTGTTAACAAATTTTGCAGCAACATTAGGCAAAAAAATGAAATTTTTCTTTACTTTTGCCAGTCCACAAAAACAACAATAATAATAAAAATAAAAAAAAGTATGGGGTCACCCCCCCAATTCATGCCAGACCCTTTAGGTCTAGTAGGAATTTTAGGGGGGACCTCAAAAGCAAAAAAAAAGTGTGGAGTCCCCCCTAAAATTCCTTACCAGACCCTTGATCCAAGCAGCAGCCTGGCAGAGCAGGAAAGGGAGGGACAAGCATGCACCCCCCCCCTCCACCATACTAGGCCACATGCCCTCGATATGAGGAAAAAACATTGTCCCTATATTGATCATGACAAGGGCCTTTTCCCACCAACAATGCCCCGGTGGTTGTGGGAGTCTGCAGGCAGAAGGGCTTATCTGCATCTGGTGCCCCCCATGAAAGAGTAAGGGGTAGTGTTATTACCCCTACACATTCATAATAATAATAAAAAGTCAAATTAAATAAAAACACTACACTCTAAACAAAAGTCATTTATTAAAAAAAAAAAAAATCAAAAGTTTTTGACATTTTCGGGCAACACTTTTTTGGGGTCTTGAGATACTACAGAAAATGTTTGTTAATAATTCCTTGTATAACTTCATACTGATTGTTATATTTCCTTGAAAAAGTGACATATATAATTATCCCTCTCTTGATAATCATTTTTCATTAAACCAATCTTCTTTTCCAGGAAGCCTTTCACTTTGTTCAGTATAATCATATTCAGCACAGTTTTGACTCAGCCTGTCTAATTAGCTAAAGATAATGTCTCTCTCTTTTCCAGTTCTCCAAGTATGCAATTAAGCCAATATAATAATTGGAAAATAAAAAGCATTTCCTTTAGCCAATTTCACAGACTCAGGCGAAACTGTGTACTAAGGATTATGATAATATCTTTATGAAGTGAACTACTGGAAGCCATTATTAAGGATTATTAGGAGAGGCTGATTAATGAGGCTTATGAAAATTATTTCACTGTGCCAACTTCCAATTTAGCTAATTATAAATAATTAGAAAGATTTCAAGACAGATATATTATGCTGAAATGGTGACAGATAAATTAACAATAAATATGAAACTTTACAAGGAATTATTTACAAACATTTGCCTATACTATTAGAAAACTTTTGCCTATACATGAGAAAAGGCCGGCACATACAGCTCTGTGCTGCGTGCACGGCCGTATCGGGCAGCTCCAGGGTAGGACAGGTTCTGCGTGTGCTAAGTATGCAGCCCCCGTCCTTCTCTATGGGAGTACACGGCGGTGTCCCGGCTCGGACGCAGACAGGATCCATCCCGTCAGCGTACGAGTATGGACAGCTGCACCGACCTGCACTTGTGGTGAGCATAGGGTGGCATACTCCCAAAGAGAAGGACGGGGGCTGCATACTAATCACACACAGCACATGTCCCTCCCGGGAGCTGCCTGATACGGCCGTGCACGCAGCACGGAGCTGTACATGCTGGCCTTTTCTCGTGTGAATGAGGCCTTACAAGACCCCACGCTAAAAGAAGTGCTTCTCAAAAATACAAAAACAGTTTCACAACAAGTGAAATGACATGTTTCAGTGAGAGAAAAATTATGCATCAATTAAGTTAGTTTATAATTCATAGTTGTCTTGTATATCTGGTAAGAGTGCGTAATTGTGCTTTATTTTGTCCCTTTTTTAAAAGAGTGGCAAATGCTATTCCATTTACCCCAGTAGGTATAGCTCATTCAAATGCTGTAGCTGAATGACAATTTAGGGTGTTTCATCCTTGTTTTCCAGTCACCTCTATAAAATTGTCTCCCATAAAAAAATTAGATAGCATGTAACCAAACAAATATATAAGATTGTCTTGCCTGTATTAAAATGTAAATATTTGACAGGTGTAAATATATGACACGGCCATGGACCGGGTTCTGCATTACAGTCTACAAAAAAAAGTTATAGTGCACATGTAACAAGTACCTACTAGCTGCAACTGAAAAGGAGAATTAAGATGTGGTCTCTCCTTCTCATTTGCCTAGTGATTTCTGCAAACAAACCACATAATTATAACTGATATGGTCCTGACAAAACTAGGCGCATATCTAGACCCACTTTACGCACAAGAAATGATACCACTAACCTGGACGATCTTTAAATATATCCTCCACATTGGAAGAAAGTAATCTCCTTTTGCCCCCTCCCTTCATAATGCAAGTAAGGGTCACAAACTATTTCACTGCAACACAGAAAGACAAAAGACAGGGTTTACAATTGCATTCCAATTTAGTAAATAATCTGCAGATTATGTGAACAAATCTAAGTACGGACTCAAGTTTTATAAATACATTGTGAAAGTCAAGTATAACATGTTGAGTAAGATCTTACAAAGTACTAATGGGTGTTTGTTTAGTAGACCTTCCTGCTTGTAAATAGGTGGGGTCCTTCTGGTTGCAAATTCATTTTCCAAAACAGTTTTAATCCCATATGAATGCACATATCTGACAACTTTTGAAATATTAATGCCACAACATTATCACATTTTTATTTAAATAAACTGACCTATTAGTTATATATTTGTGCACAAAATATGTATCAATTCGTTGTGCTTACTAGCTTGAGCTGCACATAAATGTAGTTTAGGGTATAGATATTGTAGGGTCACTTGGAAAATGAAACAACAATTCAAATTAATGAGATTTGATTTTCATAGAAGCAACATATTGTATTATCAAGTCTTACACAAAGTCTGCAAACCACGGACCCTCACCAAATGTAATTCTATATACGGAAAATGGTAGACATGCTGTCAATCTTCCAGTGTGGACCACCTGTACCTACTGCATTTCACCTATTGGGCTGAATCGCAAAGATAGCGTGTTAGGGAAAGGTGGTCCATGCTGAAGGGTTGACAGTGTGTCCACCATTTTTTTGAATAAGGATTTTACATTTGGCGAAGCTCTGTGGGGTGCAGTCTTTGTGTGAGACTTGAAATTTGGAGCAGAGACATGTTCAGTACCTTCACTGGGGATGCTCTCGAGGTGGGGAGTCAGTATGAGAATGGGAAAGGTAATTTGCTTGCTATGAACGATATTGTGTTATCAATTATAAACACAATGCTTACATGTAGAAGAATTGTACTTACCCCTTAATGATGTTAATTTTCTTGCGGCAGGTCTTCCACAGATGCACTTGGTGCAAAACCGGACCGCCCCTATAGTTTGCCATGGCTACGGGATATGGCCTCTCTCCACACAGCTCCATCTGTCGAGACGCTGTATCCCTCCCAAGACCTGGTTTTAAACCTATGTGCAATTGGCATTATTTTTTCTGCTGGCCTCCGGCCGCATCCCCTTCCAAAATCTGAGGTCTGCAAGTGGCTCCTTGTACTGTAGATAGGGCCAGGAGCAGCATCGGACTACTTGCCAGTAATGGCAGCAGCAGGAACAGCACACTGTTTGCTGCCCATGGTTGCACTGTTGTGAATGTCCACAAGAAGTTGTACATGACACAGGAACACTAAACAGGTTATTTATGATTTGTAATTTTTCACCCCAAATACATATTAACCAGTGATTTCAGCATGTGAAATGCTCTAACACCTTTCCCTGACTTATAGCAGTAATGGACATGAATACCTAAAAGAACTTAAATCCAAAAAATGTATTTTAGAATATTAGCAAACTACAGTAACTGTAGAATTACCATAAACAAGATTCGCTGTCATTCAGGCATTCCACAATAGAAACATGAATATACACTTCTATGCAAGAACACTGCATCTGTCCATTTGCTGGATGTTTCAATAAACATTTGAAAATACCTGTGACCCGAAACATAAACCCTGTTGAATCTATGGCAACGGAATCTTGTTATTTTGTTTTTAAGGTGAATTTGTAAGCTTTTGTTAAAAAAAGGACATGGGTTAGGGTTAGGGTTAGGTTAGGGTTAGGGAAACTGCCATGGGTAACATGAATCAATGCAAAAAAAAAATACAATACATTTTTCGACAGTAAAAATATGCAATTTTTTACATGTATAGACCTGTTACCACGACATTGGAACACGATCTCTGATGCCAGACCCTACCCTACTCTTGTTACGGTTTCCCATTTGGTTTATCATGCTGTTGTAAATGGTTTGGATATCACATGGCTGTTCCTGTGATCGGCCTGAGGCCTGTGTACTTGTCGTTGCCAAAATCTCAAATAAAAATTTTACTTGTGAAAAAAAAAAAATGCAATTTTTTAAATGACATGCTTGGGGGCGTCTTAAAAATGCATGTGAAGAAAAAGAAAAAAAATCAGTTGCCACTAAATGACATTTCCCAACTGGCTTTGTTTTGTTTGTAACAAACAATGTAGTCCCCCCCCCTTCAAATCCATACCATCCTTTAGGATGCTGCTGACTTTTTAACAATAGCTTGTCTATAAGCCTTGAAAATGCCCAACGGGGGGGTCCACAACTAAGTTTGGGTTTTGCAAATTTCAAGCAGGATTTGATGACCCACCCCAAACCAAACCTTTTCTGCCACTGGACCCCTTCACCTGCTCCATTATGAGACTGATTTGGAGTCATGAACTGTCTCTTCCTTGGCCCCTCTATGGTTTGAGAAACCTGCAACCTTTACCAAACATGGGACAAAACAGCACATAAACCAGGCCAACCAATATTTGCATTTCAGTCCCTAAAACTACAATCATTTTGGAACTGGCACAACATCAGGCTAAGTGTATCAGGATAAATAATTAGCTGAATGAACAGACAGAGAGTAACTGTAACTTGCAGTTTATTAAAAAAGTGCACAGTTAGAATTAACAGCACAAAACAGGGTCAGGATAGCAAAGAGCAGGCATACACCACAGAATAATACAAAACAGATTATGAAAGCTGTACAAACATTGACTCTTCACACCAATGTTCTTGTGGCTCAGTCAGGGTAACATGTGGCTGCACAGCAAAGTTTCAATAAGACTCCATAGCAACAGAGAGTCTAGCGGAGGATCACTACTTCAGTAAAACAGTTCAGAACAGAAATGGCTACTTGCAATTATCCTCATGAACATCATCCCTCTCACTAAAGTCAAGGTTAACTCTGGTAAGAATGGCAAGCAGTTGGATGGATCCAATGACACAGGGTGACCATCCCACTGGAGCCTGAGTACTCTGGCAGTAATTGAGGAGGTGCTCCCCACAATATCTTAGTATTCTGAAGAAGCTGAATGCGTTTAGGCTTTGGCCTGGCTGACCGTACACTGGTTCTGACAGTGAATGGGCGCTCACCTGGCTGCAGATCATTTGCCCAGCTACCTCTGCCTTATCAAATATGACATCTCTGAGCTGCTGAGAGAGGTAAGCAGAGAATCTTATCATCCCTCAGCATGTGTTGAAGAACTCATGGAGTTGTGGGAATAGGAGTTAAATGGGCCAATTTTTAGTAAATGGACACTCCACTAAGCATGTACAAAGTTGGGGTCATGGAAAGGATAGGTGGGATTTTCCTACTCTGTTAAAATATGGCTGGTTGAGGCCATGCACCTCATAGTAGTTCACACTGTTCCAAAGAAGTTTTAAGAAACATAAATACTTATGGCATCAGTGCCAAAAGGCTTTTGTTCAGTTCAAATAGTTTTGCTTTCCCATACAAGTCTATGGTTATGTAAAACCTAATTTAAGGAAGCCATATGCTGGTCAGATGAAGGTCAACTGCAGGTAAGATGCACCTGTCAATAAATCTTGAATTATCTCAAAGGTGTCTCAAACTGATGTCAAGGCCAAAACCTGTCAATGCAGGACCTTCAACAAATCATTTGGGAGTTAAAACAGTATGTATATATGTTTCATCTGTTTATCTGAAGCTTCATGTGTCTACATGTGTCTGAATAGGAATTACACAATAGCTGGCACAACTGTTGGTACAAGTCATCTGAAAGGATGCATCAGGGAAGGTTTGAGGTGAAAGAGCTGTGCTAGGCATTTCACTCCTCTGCTCGCCAAGTGGCCAGAGCCACAATTCAAATTTATGCCTCATAGGTGTACTAACTGCACCCTCTGCATGATTTTGGGTCTCCATCAATGCAGTTCCATGCACTTTATGGAAGAAAAATAAGTATATGAAATAGACATATCAACCTTGCAGGCTAATAAGATGGAAATGTGGTGAGAATCAGAGAAGAGCAGGCTTTTTATTTTATTTATTATTGTAAACTGGTTCACTGGTTTTCAGGGCTGAGGAGCCAACCTCAAATAGTTCTTGGTGTGGAGCACAAAACATGGGCAGAAAAATGTGACACCTCATACACTGTCTTAACTCCAAGCTTGACTTTAGGCTACCAATTACATTTAACTTTTGGTTTTGAGAAGAACCCCTATTAGGATGTTCCCACTATCCAGGACTCTTTTCGAGAGATTTCCCCTCACTTTTTGTCCTGCTGACAACAGTTTTATCAGGCAAGAAGTGAGGCGAAATCTGCAACAAGGTCACAGATGGAAAGAAAAATCTAACAGGCTGCTCACACGGAAGAAACAATGCCTGTCTGGAATACATTCCATGAAGAGGCTGTATAGCTTCCAGCGGTTCCAGAGTGAAGATCTCCATGGAATGCTGACAGGTAAATACAAGACTTGGGAGAAGTTGATGGGAAGGGTGGTGTTGAATATGCACTTTTATTATAATGTACTGTGTGAGAGTTACCAATACAAAATGACAATTTACAGAACTAATTTTATTTGTTTAGTTGTAGCCCTTGAATTTCTCATTTACTGTCATAAGCCACAGTTGTGAAATCTGATCAATGAATTCATTATCTGGGAAAGGAAAATGCTACTCTCATGTCCTCCACTGGCTAATTGAGACTCCTTTTTTCTGTTTCTTCTCCAAAGGTGGGAGACAGACTAAGCAAAAACTAGTCAGTGTAATCTAGCGAGGAATAACACTAAGCTTATAAATAGGGGGAATATTGCCAGCTCCACTGGTAGATGGGGTGAGGTCAATCACATCTGGATGAACTGTTGGCTTGAAAGTAAAGTTTTGCAGGAAAGTGGTAAAAAATAAGAAGAGCTCCATGCGGGCCAGACCTTCCCCCAGGCAGATCCGTTTACCTGTAAGAAAATAAAAATGAAAGCTTTATTTTAATTGAATAATACTAATATTATTGTTAAAATAAAACAAAATTTTGTACGGCATTTGTCAAGTCTCTGATGGCATTTTCAGGTGATAAAGAAAAATCTTTCGTTGGTAAAGAAAAATCTTATGTTTGGAAATCTACTAGCTTATGGCCAGCTTAAGTGCAGTGGCTTTTTAAATCAGCTAGACTAATTACAGTGCTAGCATTACTAAATGTATAGTCTGGTTATTCTAGGTGTTCTGCTTTTGTATGCACCTACCTGAAGTGGGGCGTGACCCTGTCACAGAGTGGGGCAGCCAATGGGAGAACACTGAGGGTATCTATGCCTCACCAGCCAATCACTAGGAGTTTCATAGCCAGTAGTGCATGCTGGTAAAATGCATAAATACTCAGAAATTGCCATGTGCTCATACAGTCCACCCCTGGGCTTGGCCTGGGGGGGTGGGATGTACAAAGTTGGAGAAGCTGACTAGGCCTCAAGCCTGCAGGAGGCCACATGTGGACTCATGTGGGGTCTGGAACTATCTGGGGAGGAGAACCAGAGGAACCCTATGACTGCTAAAAGTGCCAAGAAAACCAGGAGATGGATTGGACCTCAGGAACAAGTCTGGTGTCTCTCACAGGTAAGATCTCATGCACATCCCTATTCAGCCGTTGTCCTACTGCACAGTGTCATCCTCTGTTTTAATAAAGTATTTCTACACTGTGGAAGCCTGCAGGGATTGGGGAGTCTGGAGTCTCTTTTTGCTATGGATGTCTGAAGCCCTATACCCTCTCTCCCAGTTTTCACTGTTCTACAATAAAGCATTTTTAAAATGCACTTAAAGTGATTGGCGCCAAATTTAGTTTGCACCTCACAACCCACAATCAAAGATCCACCCCTGAGAGTGAAATGTCAGTCCTCCCTGCCTTTGGAGGTCCATCTCAGGTCTTTGAGGTCAGGGTGCTGCTACATGTGACATAACTCATTTTTATAGCATGACTGCAGTCTAATTCCATCTCCAATAGCATTATGATCATATATTTAGGGTTTTCCTGGTTTCAGTTTATGGTGTTAAGTTTACTGGGTCCCTCTAGAGCAGGGGTGCCCACAAGGTCGATCGTGATGTCATCTCCTCCGGCCGGTGGGGCTTCTATGGATCCCCGCTGCTCTCCCCATCTGTATGCAGCGGGGATCCGAGAAGAAGTGAAGGAACCGCTGCAGCGGGGGAGGGCGGAGGACGGAGCCGCTGTCACAGACAGAACAAATGCCGAGCGGTGAGGAGACAGAGAGACGCTTGGCCAGGATCTGACAGCCGCCGCCTTTCTCTCCCCTCACCGCTCGTCCTTAGTTCTGTGACAATGGCTCCCGCGGCTGAAGTGCTTCTTTTACTTCTCGTCGGATCCCCCGCTGCCTCTGCCCGGGAGAGCAGGGGGATCCAGAGGAGAAGCCGAGCCCCCATGTGCGTGGCCGAGCGGCAGAGGATCGGTATATATCAGCGAAATGTACCGGTCCTCTGTGCAGGACAAACACTGGAGCGATCAGCTGATCACTCCAGTGTTTGTAAAAAACTGGGGACACTTAGTACTATGTTGTTGTACAAGGCTGTTTTACATCACGTCCTGTTCATTTATGAGTTTCTGAATGGGGAGAAGCACTCTGTACAGAGGCTCCTCCCCATCCAGAAACTGCTTGATAGTAAATAGTTTCTGAATGAATGGGAAGCCTCTGTGCTTTCCATTCATTTAGAATAGAGGCTGCAGAAAAAGAGATTGAGGACTTTGTGTCCTCAATTTCTTTTTCTATTTCTATATTTCCCCCCCGACAGTAAAAAATAAAATTACGAAAATTAAAATAAAATAAAAAATAGTAACAAATAAATTAAAAAAATGTTCAATTTTTCTTGCCAAAAGGAGCTGGCTACGGCTATGCTTCCATGGTGCTTGTGCGGCTGCCGGCTGAATGTGTCAGACGCTGCAGATGGAAAGGGGCAGGACACCTCTCCCCATGTGCAACTTCGGCCAGACGAGCACCACGGGAGGACAGGACGCCAGGACCTCTAGGGCACACTGGAATGTAAGCCGGCCGACTCCCTGCGTTCAGGTGCGGGAGGTGGTGTGGGGTTGTATTGAAGCCAATGGCACCGCAGCCATGCCCCCCACCCACAGTGCAATCGCCCGCACCCGGAAAGCAGGCACATTAGTGCCTGCATTCCGATCCAGTGCGATCTGCAAAAATAGTGCTCGCAGCATTTTTGCGGATCGCACTGGACTGGAACGCAGGCACTAATGCAGGCGATCACACTGTGGGCAAGGGGCCTGCCTGCGGAGCCTGGCTGCAGTGCCATTGACCTCAATGCACCGCCCCGCCCCACCCCTGAATGCAGGTGTTTTTTCGTTGGTAGATCTCAATGAGCTTGTCATTTGAGAAGTAGATCTCCAGACGAAAAATTGTGGGCGCCCCTGCTCTAGAGTCTTCGAATCTCTCATTTTTATTTTACTTAAAGTATCTCTAAAACAACAAAAACATTTTTTATTTTAGATTAGGGGAAGGTACAACCCCTGTCAGTTTTCCTTGCTATCTATGTCTTATTAGGCAGATTCTCTTCACTTCCTGTCCTGTAGACTCAACAAAAAGTGAGAGGATATCTTTCCAATGTGAGAGAAACCCCTCTAAAGCTGGTCATAGACCTATAGATTTTCTGCAGATTTTCTATGGTCAGATGGAAAAGTACAACAGATTCCTCCATGTATGCTAAACTGTGTGGATGGAGGAATCTCCAACTGGGCCAAGCTTCAGTATCTTGCTAGTTGGCCCCGCTGGCTCTCAAAATACCTAAACAATCTGATTGGATGGAGGCATTGTTCAGGTATTTTGAGAAACAGCGGGGCCAACTAGCAAAGATACTCCCAGCGGGAGATTTCTCCATCCACACAGTTTAGCGTAGATGGAGGAATCTGTTGCTTCTTTTCATCCGACCATGGGCTGATAGAAATCATAGAAAATATAGATCTATGGCGAGCTTTAGACACACAAGAACAAGTGAAGTTTGCCACTTTATTCCTGTTCTGGTGGCAACTAAAAAATCTGGAATTACCCTCACTAATTGGTGATCAGGAGAATGAGAGAATAAATCTCCCTAACAAGAACACAGACAGCAATACAAGTCTGACAGTGGCTCCAAACCCCTTTCTACTCTATCAAATCTAAAACAGTTTTAGAAAATCCTTCCCTGCTTCACAAGTGGGGGTTCATAGATCAACAGATAATGGAGATACGAAAGTGAGGAGGACTTCTGCTCCTGTGAAGTAGGTTGTGCTCCCTTTAGGCAACTCATCTTTCAGTTTGGTAAGTGAGTGCCTCAAACCTAGGGAACAGTATCTTCTTAGAACCGTCCATTATGTTTCCTAAAAAAAAAAATCAATTGGAATGTATATATTGAGCCACAGAAATACCTGAGGAGAATGGCATGAAGGCATCATTAGCCTTGAAGCGATTATTCTCATCCAAGAAGTTTTCAGGGTTGAAGGTGTGAGGCTCTTTGAATTTCTCTGGATCGGTGTGAACAGAAGTGAGCACTGGGATGACTTCTGTACCCTGAAGAGAATAATAGCAGAAAGTATACCTCAAACCTGATTGTTCCAGTGCCAGTAGCCCTTATCATCATATCTATGCAGTACATCATCTTAGTTAAATGTTTTAAAGCAAGGCACAAAAAAAAAAAAAATTCAATTTTTAACCCTTTCACCCTCCCTCCTCTCCTATATAAAAATACATTTTGTTAGAGTGTTGTGTGACAGAAGATTCCTCAGCCAAACTTGCACACCGCTGAAAACTGAAAAATGGCCTGTTAATGAAGAGGGTGTAACATGCTGCCATTGATGTGGTTAAACAGTCTCAAAAGTATAAATCAAAAAAGAAAATATAGGTCACCAAACGGGGTTTTTGGGGGGGATGGGGCGGGGGGCTTGCACAAAGATTTACTATATAGTACACCTAAAAACTCTAATGAATGTAGCCCCAGAGTTTAACTATAAATGTTAAATGTTAGAATGTGATGTCCTTTAGGAATCTATGCTGCTCTATGCAATACTCTTTATTTTGTGTGTTTGGTATACCTCGCTGTATACCCCTCTGTTTTGTTGTTAGACCCTCTCAACCTTCCATGCCTAGTTTAGCTTCTGTTGTACCATTGTCGAGTAAGGAGGCTTATAGGAATGTCACTTATCCTCTAAGGCTATGTTCGCACCTAGGCTTTTGGCAGCTTTCATGCATTTTTACATGCTTTTTTGTGCATTTTTGCTTTTAAAAACACACATTTCTCCCTGCATAGAGATGTCTATGGGATCAAACCATGCAGGATCCGCCTTAAAATAGCTCCTACATATTTTTGTGGAATTTAAATTTTTCCTACACGTGATGCAATGCTAAGGTGTGAACAGTTGCCATTGACTTGCATGGAAATGTTTTGAGCGTTTTTGCACAAATAGATCTGCGCGGTAAGATGATAAGAATCTATAGATTTCCCTATCCACACTAAAGATGGTAGATGGTAGAATCTCTTCCTATTGGCTATTGTTTTCAGACCACAGCTGTTAGAATACCTGAACAGTACGTACATATAATACTCAGTACTGACAGTGTATTATCACTCACTTCAAACTAAATAGTCTTCCTTGGACGGGGGCAGCAGACCACATCCAACAGGGAAATCTTCAAATACATGCAAAACAAACTAAAAAGACGACACCTTCTACCCGAACAATGACTGCCTCTCATTGGCTGGAGTCACTGTTCAACTGACAATATTCATTTTCAGATTGAAGTTTGTGGAGCCAGTGGTGTCAACAGGGCCACCCACAGCTCAAAGTTCGCGACATTCAGCAGGATTTGCCTGTAATGTGAGCCATCTGTGGCCAGAATATATAAATACAAATATAGACATCCAGTGTAAGTTGGGATAAACTACACTGGATTCCACATCTAAATCTTTTTGGTGAGTTGACACAGTATGTGGATCTTGTTGAGTCAGCAAGTTGCCACAATGTCAGTACAGACTGGGCCTCAGGAGGTATGTCTTTTGCATAAAGCGCCATTTTAGACAGAACACTCCAATTATTATATAAAGTTATTTTCTTTTTTGTTCATTGAAGGACACAGTGGATCTTCAGATCTTGACCAATTGGGCTATAGCGCCGCTATAACCCAATTGGTCAAGATCTGAAGATCCACTGTGTCATTCAATGAATGCAGAAAAAAAGTTTTTTATGGGGAGTACAAAAATCCTATTTTTCTGTTGTGTGTGGCAGCCCTTTCCATCTGCATTTACTTTATCTCTATTATGATTTTCTGTTTCACATCACCTGTGGCAGGAAGTATCCTCTGAACTCAGTGTCTCGTATCACACAATGTGGCAAACTCAGTGGGATGATGGTGGTAAAACGTTGTATCTCGTGTATCACTGCATCCGTGTAAGGCATTTTACTCCGGTCTTCCACTGCTGGGCCCCGGTTCCTTCCAATTACGCTGTTTATTTCCTGGTGTACTTTCTCTGAATGGACACAGTATATCAGTGAGCTGTACATGTCAGTTGGACAGATAAGGACAGATACTACCTAAAGTCTTCATGGTTGCTGTTGACAATCACCATTTTTAGAAGTTAGGATCTTTCCAGTTCTTTATGGTCATACCACTATTTCTTAGATCCAACACCTCCAAGAAATCTAGACATGTAGTTTGCAATCCCCTGTCAATATTTCACTGCTTTTAGGACTGTTGTCATAATGACAATTGTTTCACCAGTCAGGGAGAAATGGAAAATCTGCAGCAGAAAAGGGGCTCTAAAGCCCTAAATAACTTATTTATTAGTAAAAACCTGAGGTATAGTCCTTCCCTACTCTATACAAAACTAAGAAAAATGTTTTTGGCTGGAATTACACTTTAAAGTGACACTAAACTCAAGAATCTTAACTTATACATTCAAGTACCTTAGCTATTAACAGATATGTATCTTATTTGTGTATCACTTGGCTGTAGAGCCTCAAATCATCTCTGAATTGGTGCGGACACTGTCCTTCCTTCTGGAGGGTGGCTACTTGTGTTTCCCATTGTCCCGGTGTATGTTGTAAAGTAACCACCGCTCCAAGCTCACTCCCATGATGAACTACAATCTCAACAGTAAACTAAAGGTGAGTTTGTAGTCCATCACAGGAGAGAGGCTGGATCTACAGCCAAGTTACGTACAATTACACTACATTTTGTTCCAAGTTGAGGTACTTGAATGCATTTTTAAGATTTAACTCCTGAGTTTAAGATACTTCATAGCGTTACCAAGCTAGTCCTTAAGTGTTTTGGCTAAAAAAAGAAAAACTGGAACATAGCAATGAGTAGACGTGTGCGCTGGCAAATAATTAGTTTTGTTTCTATTCGTAAAAAATAATAATTTTGTTTCGTTATATTCGTTAGGTTAGAATGATTCATTTTCCTAAAGATGCATTACTATTTCGGCAAAATTAGTTATTCGTTATGCCAGATCGATTTGTAATTTCAGATGGTAGGTTGTTCATCATTACATACAATTCGTTATTTTGGAATACTGGCTATATATTAACCTTTAACAAAAGGCCCAAAATATAGCATCATGACATCCGAATGAACCGATTAAATCCGAATTCATTCGTTGTTATGTTATCATTTCTTTTGGATTAGTTGAAATTAATTACTACGAATCTCCTAGTGGCTACATCCGAATCTCTGAATAACGCAAACTTGTTCGAATTTTCGAATGTAGCCAAATCTCCGAATAACACTAGTAATTCATTTCAACGAATCCAAAAGAAATTATAACAAAACAACAAATTAATTTGGATAGTGTCTAGTAATGAGCAGAGTGATTCCTATGAACTAGGATTCAGGGTCAGATTGTGGATCTCCGATAACAACACTTTCCTATGAAAATGATGGCAATTGGCCGCTGGCAAGAAGGAACTACGGTTCTTAGTAAGGACATGATTATAGTCTCAAACCCTGGAAGATTTTTTTTATATGATTATATTGCTATAATCTAGTTACAGCTGTTCCATGTATAAACATTTATAAATAGGCTTTTTACATAATTGAGCCCAACACCCTGTTTCCTAGGAGTCACTTCTGCAAATTCAGGTTGAATTAAAAGTCCCATGAGATCATTAAATGCTGTCTACACATAGAAAGCACATTGGATAAGCTGATCTCTGATCCTTCCCTTCCGTTGTACAGGAGAACTGTAGAGACCCTTTCCTTTACACAGCAGTCAGAAACGCCCTGAGCTCTGTGTAGGTCTCAATTCATTAGAGTCAGGTTCTTCATCACAGCTAATCTGTCAATATGTGGATATTAATTATGCTTACTCTGCTCTTCCAAGAAACAATTCCTGCATTATCTGTTCATTGTTATGTAATGTGGTATGATTGATAAGATGCACACTGATTATGTCTAATATGTCATCATGTGTGCCACCTTAAGTGACTCTTAATGATAGATGCATCTTAAAAGAAGATAGTGCATACTTACCTACTGTCCTACTGCCCAATCTGATGATCACTTTCATGAAGAGGAATCCCTGACTGAAGACTCAATAGAATACCTCTGAGTGTGTCAATCTCCTGTGTCCCCCACTGTGCTTGGTGGTTCTTTTATCACTGCTCTGTCCTGTAGTGATATGGGGGTCGGTGGGAGGAACCGCCAAGCATATAGCAATAAAAACATTAGGGTTACCATTTTATACTTGTGTGAAGCAGCAGAGACACCCAGAGAGTGAGTATTAATAAATACTATCCTTACTAAGAAATCTATGACCTCCTTTGACTGATTAAGTGCCAAAACATTCTGGTGCTCAATAAATACTACTTTTACAAAAAAAAAAATCTATGTCCTCCTTGGATTGAATAATACTCACCTTTTGGGTGCCTCTGCTGTTTCACAGGCTTTTTCTACACTGATCACTCTGAAATTCAACAAAGAATAACTGAACCTGGGCCCTTCTCTGAGCATCAAGAGTTGTCATTAACAAGACTTGCGTGACGAATTCTCCACAGAACAAATCAGCCTAGATTGTGCACATTGCATTTGGGAACCCTTGGTTCCTGAAGAGCTTTACTTTTAAATAAAGCCCATTTTATACTACTGGTGTGTTTGGAGCAGTTCATTGTGGATTATCATTAAGAAGAGACAGAAGGAGACAGAAGGACACATCTATCCAGCGGTTTCCTAGGGTCTAGCTCTAATTGATCTTGGCTTTATTACCTAGTGAGCTTCTTAACTGGAATGAGAAATAAGGACAGTAAACTTCCATTTTCAGATTTAACTAGCGGCATTGTTTGGTCGAGGTCAGGGGTAGGCAACCTTGGCTCTCCAGCTGTGCTGAAACTACAAATCCCATAAGGCATTGCAAGCCACAGGCATGATTCCCAGAGCCAGAAGCATAATGGGCTTTGTAGTTTCAGCACAGCTGGAGAGCCAAGGTTGCCTACCCCTGGTCCAGGTCAATGATTCACTAGGAATTGAAGCCATAATCCAATAACCCCTAAGACTCATCTCCTCAGGGAAGCCTATCCCACCCCAAACTAACCACTCAACCATGACGGTCTCAAACAAGTCACCCCCACACAGCTACCTACTTACCCCTCCCTTTTAGATTGTAAGCCCTCTTCCTTATGTTGTATGATTGTAATGTCTTCCTTATGTTGTAAAGCGCTGCACAAACTGTTGGCACTATATAAACCCTGTATAATAATAATAATATTCACAATATGCTCAGTGTGTGCATTTTAAAACCAAGTCATCAATGTAAGTTCTGATATTTCTATTCTCACTGGTGCACTTTGTATCTTTATGATCAGTCTTTCACTCAATTTGCAAGGAATGTTTTTGGTAATACATAACTACCTAAATTTACACTTTTAATGTAATTTAGGGAAAGTAGGGTCATCACGTTTTCTTTAAAATTTGTAAATAGTATCAATGCCCATATCACCTAATCAGTATTCTTTACCCATTTCTTGACTCCATACCAGCAATGTGTGGGTACTTCATTAGAATAAGGATTCCATATCTCAAGGTTGTGCTGACGGTCTCTGTTCCTCCAAAAAACAAGTTGAGTGTGGTCATTACCATGGTGTCCAAGTTGAAGTTGCTCTCTGGGTTGTTTTTCTCCTAGGTTGGCAAATTTACAAGTCATAAAAATACTCTAACATGGTGTGCACTAGAAGAGACTGCTTTTTTGCTCACCTTCTGCATATTGGTAAGGAAACAGTCTATCAGGTCTCGTGGACAGTCTGGCTGAAAGGTCTCCTGGTGTTTCCTCAGTTGCTCCATCACAAAAATCTTCATATTTTTGAAATTCCTGAAGATGCGATGGTGAGGCCCTGGCAGATGGTCCATAATTCCTGGAAAGATGTTGTATAACTGCACGGTGCAAAATAACAAAAAAAATACAAATAAATAAATAGACACAACGCTGTAGCTATCATCAAAAACAAGTTCTTCAAAGACTCAGACTACAAAACATAGATATAGAGAAAGAAAACAAGAACCATCTGTCAGGACATCATATAATGAGTAATTGTAATTTGCTGAATAATATAGCACAGAAAAAAAGCAGAGTCCAAAATAAAAAAGTATGATAGAGAACTATATGAAGGGGTATGAAGGACATTAAAGAAAATGTTGCCTTCTCAATGCTTTTTAGATCAGCATGTATAAAGCAATCAAGTTGATGGAAATTATCTTAGAAATATGTTCTACTATATCAAAATTATGTTTCTTTGTAGAATTTGCAATTATATCTGTACATGGAGGCAGCCATAAAATTAATATGAAGACTTTGCTTCCTGCTTTCCAGTGCTGCAAAATCTTGCAATGTAAATCTGTGAGTAACATGACTCATTGAAAACAAAGCACTGCCTGTGTGGCTGATATCTTATCCCAACATTTGTTAAAAGGGAGTATCATGTTGAATTTCTGAATTGAGCAGACGTTAGAAATTTTATGTTAAGGTTGCTCCAACCTGACTCCGATTGGATGTTCAATATAATCTCCTTGCCTACAATGTAATACAGGACTAAGAATAATTTTATCAGTTATATAAGTTGATCACCTGTATACTCAGTGATATGTATAATGCGGGGTTCTGAAGCTATGTGTACGGACCCACGTTTGTGAAAAACCCGAATAAAAACTTTGAAATTGAAAAGAGAGAGTATTTTACTGAGCTTCCACTAGTAGCCCTGCATTACTCAAACAAAAACATGGGATAGCAAGCTCGAAATTATGTAAAATGTCCTATAATCTCTTGCCAGCATCAGTTATATTTTTCATGATGCATGCATGCTTGTGTAACACTTCTAGGTACTGTATTTATCACCTCTTACAGCGATCCCAGGACTTCCACAGACAATGCCTTCATCTGTTTTTCTCTCCATATGCACAGAGTGACCTTTGTTCAGGCATCATCCTGGGTCTGCATCTACTTCCTGGGCCGAGATACTGGCCCAGAGACGACACACTCAGGTCAATGCAGTTCCTTTGCTATGTTCACAAATGCTTACACCAGGAGGTTCCATTGCCATTTTTCCACCTAAGTTTGGGGTGGGGTGGAGGGGGGTCAGTGCTGGTGGTGCACATCTGGGGGGGCTGAGTAAGTGCTGGTGGTGCACGCTAAGGAGGGTGGATATTGTTCTCTGCATCATATCAGCTCAACCTCTGGCTCTGGCTGGTGTCCCGCCCAGGTTATTATTATTATACAGGATTTATATAGCGCCAATAGTTTGCACAGCGCTTAACAATATAAGGAAGACATTACAGTCACAATACAATTTATGACAAGATGGTAAGGAGGGCCCTGCCCGTGAGGGCTTACAATCTACACAGGTTGCAAAGAGCTGACCAGAGAGATGTGTATAGTCCTTACACATCTCCCTGCCTGTCTCTTAGCTACCTGGGATGCTCTGGCTGGAAGGGGGGCGGCAGGCACACTACAAACATTGTTCAGCAGAGCGGCCTCTGCCTGCCGTTCCCCCGCATGACCCAAAGTGATGCCACCTGAGGCAACAGTCTCAGGCTGACTCCATATAGGGATGGCACTGGCTGACACAGATAGGCAACCTCTTATCTTGTGACATGTTACAATGTTGCTGTCTGTGGAGGAATAATAATCCCACCTACCTGCAGCAGACTGATGACATCATCTCAGCCTAGGCAACCTCACTGGATAGAACTGACTTTTAATGATAAAAAGTGGAGCTTTGCAGTTGATGTATATTGTAGGAGTTTATTAATACAGACTGTAAAGTGAATGAAAGGTCCACTTTAAACACGGAAATAACTTACAACATACCTCCACTGCAAATACACTTTATTTTCCCTTTAACATTACATTGCAAGCATTGGGCAAAATTACTTAACGTTAATTAGTTGGGTTAAAGTGAGAAAAGGGCACTTTGTCTTACCGTTCCCCAGGCAGAACTCATGATCTGAAAGTTGTCATTGATGAGTTCTAGAAGTGCCAGGAATTTCTTATCATCATATTCAAACCGATTACCAAACACGATGGAGCAGATGACATTTGAGACGCCTCGACTCAGGAAGAAGATTGGATCAAAGGGAGTCTCTTTAAAGATAAATAAATGTGCGTTTATAAAGCTTTCACATTATTCCCACTAAACAACTAAGCTTCCAGTAGGTTGTTAGATGGATAAAAGGAAGACGAACTAAAGGAGAATTGTGCCATTGATAAAGTTGGTAGTGAATGGTCAAGTGTTAGAGATTGGGTTAGGTAGTTAGTGTTAAGTGAAAAATTGAACTCCTAGGGGTAAGGTGTTAGGCTTAGGTTATGTATTATGGGCTAAGCAGCTTCAATTATGCCTATCATGAGGTGGGACTCATTTTTGGCTTCCTTCTGAAAATGCTAATTGCCTGACTGGCATTAATACTTTCAGGTCAAAGACCTGGAACACACATGCAGCACATGCACATGTGGAAAACGTGTAAAAGTGGAAAAAGATGAATAACTCCTTATGTCTATACTTGTTATAAGTTAGGAAGTCAATGTATTGAAGCAATTAAATCAGCATTATAGTCAGGTCAACAAAGGCAGCCTGCATATTCTCTCATGAGAGGTTTCAGTTAAAACGTATGTGAACGCAAAACCTTGTTTTTAGTATGTTATGTCTCACTATATACAGTTTTCTTAAATGTTATCTATGGTCAAAAACGAAGAATAAATATGTACTTCTATATTGAATTTCCATACATTTCACCCCACTCCTAATAACCACATTGATCCAAAAATGTGTAAACCTGCCTATCGATGATACCCACAGGATGTACTTCCTCAATGTACTATTGAAATCAAGCTCTTCCTTGTGTCACAGTTCTCGCAGAGCCTGCCTTCTAAACCACAACTCAATATTTTAACAATGTAACAATCATTGCTTGCTGGAAGCAATGCATGATGGGGTATGTAGTCCTGAGAAATGAAGACTGCATTACATTAAGCAGCAGGGGAAAAGACACAAAGCACACGGGGGGATCCAGGAAGTTGGTGAAAGTGATGGGCAGATAGAAGGCAGCACTCACTACATAAAAGGGATTTTTTCAAGTAAGCTTTAACTTGTATTATCAAAAATAACTTTAGTATGTATTGATATTGCAATGCTAATGTTATAACAGGAGAGGATATGCTGAGACTTTACAACTCCATTAAGCAAATAATATTTTGTGACTCTATCACAAAGTTTGCTACGGTGCGATCCTGCCAATAGCAGCACCTCCTGTTTCAGGCTGGCAACGCTATGCTTCTGCCTGCTATGCCCAGGCTAGGGTGGCGTTATCCTCAATATAGTAAAACCTGAGGAATGTTGAGTAGCCCAGCACTGTGCTGCAGCATTTTCTTACATGATCTGGAGAACTCAGCATCCTCTGAGATTTGGGTGATTTGGGTGATGACGTCACCCCGTGAAGCCCACAAACTGAAGAAAAGCGAAGTATTATATCGACATTTTTCCCCTAGAGGTGTTCTTTTAAACTTTCAGCGTCTCATCAAGGGGGCACATATATAAAATGGACCATATTATTATTACATAGTATTTATATAGCGCCAACAGTTTGCACAGCGCTTTACAATGTAATGAAGACATTACAATTACAATACAATTCAAGACAGGATGGTAAGGAGGGCCCTGCCCCTGAGGGCTTACAATCTGAAAGAGGAGGGGGAAATGATACATGAGGAGGTAGCTGTGTGGGGATGAATTGTTTGAGAATGTGAAAGTTCAGTGGTTAGGTCGAGGTGGGATAGGCTTCCCTGAAAAGATGAGTCTTTAGGGAACGCCTAAAGGCAGTCAAGGTGGGAGATAGACGGACAGGTTGGGGTAAAGAGTTCCAGAGGATGGGAGACACTCTAGAGAAGTCCAGGAGGCGAGTATGGGAGGAGTCGACTAGGGAGCTGGAAAGCAGGAGGTCTAGGGAAGAGCGGAGTGGACGGTTAGAGCGATATTTTGAGACAAGGTCTGAGATATATCCGGGGGCAGAGTTGTGGATGGCTTTATAATGGAATATGGAATGCAAGGTCCCCATTAACCATCAATAGGACCTCCACTGAGAATATTGACAAAAGCCATATACCCAAATACTCACGCTTTGTGTTTCGGAATTCCTCCAATAAGAAGTGAGCTTCCTCCTGAATGCGCCCTTCTATACTTCTCTTCCCCATGCCAAAATTCCTGAGGGTAGTCAGAGCAAAACGCCGCAGGATCTTCCACTTCTCTCCGTTTGAAAATGCAATACCTGGTAATTAACAGCATGGTAATTAAGAGATCACTAATCACATACGACTCATAGTATAAGCCAGGACAAGTATTACTAGACCGCACCCTTTTTTTAAGGTAAATGCCAAGGTGCACATGCACAAAAATATAAATACAAATCCAAAGAAGGTATAGAGGCACTCAAGGGTGCAGAGGAAATAAGTCAAAGCATCAGCATTTTATAGTTGAAAATAAAACGCTGATGCTTTGATTTATCTTTGCTGCAAGACCCATGAGTGCGAGTGCGTGTCTATATATATATATGTATGTATATATAT